CACCTCCCAAACAAAAAAAAAACCACCAACCAGACCCCCCAAACCAGCGCATATGTTTGGGCTGTCTGGCACACCTCAAACCCAGACCATATGTGGGGCGGATTTTGGGCTGCCCGGACGCGTCCGCCACGTCGGATCCGACAGGGCCAGACCCACCCTAAATCTCTCCAAATCGTCCCCAACCCTCGCCCAACCCGCCCTCTTCCTCTGTCCTGCCTAGTCCGCGCCGTCCCCAACCCGCAGCTCTGCCACCACGGGCCCCAAACCCCTCTTAGCCGTCCTTGCCACCCCGGTACGTCCTGCTCCGCCAGACATACACCTTACCCGTCATGTGTTCGACAAAATGTCCGAGCTGTTTTTGAGATTCTTTTGCTCGTTTGTAGGCAAGCGATGGATTCCTCGTATGATGATTTTGGTTACAAGGAGCTTGATGACTATATATTCAAAGAATTCACTGATTTGTCCAATTCAGACATCGAAGACGACGAAGATGCTTACATAATTATGATGATGAGCATCCAGGAAGAAATGAAGAAAGAAGAGCATGTTCTCAACTTCAAGGGTTCGATAAAGGGCCAGATAGTTGTTTCCGAGGATAGGATAAGTGGCGCACAGAGTCTCTACAACGGCTAATTTTAAAAAACACATGTATTTCATAGGGGGGAGGGGGCGTCGGCGTCACTTCCGGATGAGCACTCATTTGTTCTTGCACAGTGGATGGTGTGAAGGATTGTTGCGGGCAACTATCATTCTCTCTTTTGCAGAAATGCAAAGCTGCTATGAGCATGCTTGCATATGGTAAAGCCGCAGGTGTTGTTGATGAGTACATCCAGATGGATCGCACATGCATTGAGGCCATGGCAAACAAAATGCTGAGGATAGGGAAAAAATATTGGCAATTGGAGCGGCAAGAGGTTTTCCAAGTATGCTTGGTTCAATCAATTGCATGCATTGGCACTGGAAAAACTACCCAACAGGTTTGCGCGGGCAGTATCAAGGTCGCACCAGAGACCACCATCGTACTTGAAGCAGTGGCATCAAAGGACTTGTGGTTGTGGATTTGGCATGCTTTCTTTCTTTGGCATGTCAGGGTCTCACAATGACATCGATGTGCTTTAGCGATCTCCGTTGTTCAAGAGACTTTGTGATGGAGATGCTCCAACGTGCAAATACACCATCAACGAGCATGACCACAATATGGGGTACTACCTTGCCGATGGTATCTATCCTCAGTGGGCGGCGTTTGTGAAGACTATACCCAATCCCCAAGGTAACAAACGATGTCTCTTTGCATAAATGTAAGAAGGTGCTAGCAAGGATGTGGAGAGGGCATTTGGAGTGCTCCAAGCTCGTTGGGGTATTGTTCCTCGAGCTGCAATGATGCGGGATCCGGTGACATTGTGGTAGGTGATGACCTGTTGTGTAATCTTGCACAGCATGATTGTGTAGAATGAGGGCGAAGGGGCAGCCCACAGTTGCACACATGATTTTGAGAAGCCCAGAGTACATGTACGCCTCCCGGAACAAAGATGCAGAGCATGTTGTGAACTTTTTAGAGATGCATTGATAACTTCGAGATACACAGGTGCACGTGCGACTACTCAATGTTCTTGTGGAGCATATGTGGATCCACACTGAAAATCATTGAATTTTATGTTTGAATTATGCTCTCCGAATAGATTTTATGTTTGAACTTTATTGTCCTCTTCAAATAAACTTTATTTGTGTGTATCGTTCAGTTATCGACATTTTATTTGTGTACCGTTCAATGATCGATGTATATGTGCTTGCATGGATTTGAGATTTTAAAAATAGAGCTTGTGGTTGCAGGGGCCGCAAACGAGTCGTCCACGGATATATTTGCTCTGTCCGGTTGGAGATGCTCTTAGAACCCAACCATCTACACAAAGGACTTTAAAATCTCCTTTTAGATGAATCTACTAGCTTCAGTGGCATAGTTGAATATGTCTGAGGAATCAGCTTGGTTGAGTACTCAGGAGCGTAGTTCTTCGGTATGTCACCGTTATTAGCTTCATCAAGGAGTTAGGGAACTCAAGTTCTTGGAGTTGCTCTAGGTTCCTCAGAATGAACCAGATTACTGCTGTGAGCTACAGTTTGAGCCCAGACCGTTGGCTGAAGAACTTCCGACCAACAACTAGTTTTCTGTGCCAAGGAAATAAATAGCCCACTACCCCCTCCGGTTTGAGGTGGATTCTGCTATGTATGCATTGAGTTTCTCATTTCTCATATTCTGAGAAAAATACTAAATGAGGAGATACCAGTTTGAGTTGTGATTGAGCATCACCCCAAGAGCAACTGAGCCTTGAAACTCTGCTTATTACTCTTGAAGAATTGGCATCTTGTAGACGATTAAGCGTCAATTGGTGAGCATCCAAAGTGTGGATCCGCAACAAATAACTTCGTATCGGTTCGAGATCAACGCAATATCTACCATGAGTAATTGGGCGAGTTCTGACAAACATAGCTCAAGGAGAATAAAGGTCAAGCCTTGTGTGACTTCGGAGCAGTGTGCTCAGCCTCTCCGATGAAGACGTACAGTTGTTGCCAACTTAAACTTCAGTAAACAAATCATGTGTCTTCAACTGCAACCCGGTTCTATATCTTACTCACTCCTTTACGTTTCTGTTCGTGCACTGTTCTTGTCATGTATATACCGTTTTGCATTTGACTTAGGGCTGAATCCTTCTTGCTACTGTTTTCTGCTAAGTGTAAGTTCTAGTTTACATGTGCATATATGCTTACCTCTGCTGCTATTTGCATCTGTTCCCTCATTACCGTGTGTGCCCATTGATGCATTTGTTACCGATGTTGTCTGGAACTGTCTCTGTTTCTTCAGACTGTTTACTCCGTATCAGTTCTTCTCTTCAATTCCGCTGACTACTCTGCTTTCGGGTAGGAATTATAGAATCTCCTATTCACCCTCTAGTCAATTTGCCTCGATCTTTCAATGTTACAAGTGGTACTTAAAATAGAGGCAACTACTATAAGACATGTCTTATGTAGCATTCTACTAATTCCGTATGTGGCCAATGGGTCACGAACATATATATATGCTAACAGGCGAGATAGCTTATTAGGGCAACTCCAACACGGATCAATAAATCGCCCCTAAATGTCCGGAACGTCCAAACATTTTTTGCCATCCAACGGCAGTCACCAAATTTGTCCGGACCGGTCCAGACGTCCGAAATCCCAGAAACCGGAACCAAACATAGGGGAGGTTACAGGCATCCGGACGTCTACCACTTAGGTCTCTGACACCGCGAACCTAAATCAAAAAACCCTCTCTCCGCTCCGCCTAGAAACCTTGCTCTGCTCTCTGCGACACATTCATACCAGTCAAAGCAAACATGACCGGACGAAATGACAGGACATTTTCCTACACACATTCATGCCTCCTGACCGGCCAACCGCATGCCCGGCATTCACACAGGCGTGTTGGCCGAGAAGCCGCCACTGCCCGCATTGAAGCAGAGTCGGTCCGCCTGCCCCAGCTATTTAAGTCAGCCGGCCGCAAACGTAAACTCTACACCGCCGCCTCCCCTCTCCGCTCCTTTCCCCCAAATCCGCAGAACTACAGCTCCGGCAGCAGCGATGGGCAAGTAGGACGGATCGAAGTGGTTCTCCGCGACCCCCTCCAGATCCGCGGGGGGCGGGATGGGGGAGCTTCGGCTCCTGGCACCGCCGACCGCGTCCTCCGAGCCCGCTGGCGTCGACCAAGGAGCAGCAGCATCCACTCCTCACCGAGGACGCCGCAACGGACGAGGAGTTCATGCAGCAGATGGAGTTGCTGCTCGAGCTGTCGTGCTACAACCGCGGTCTGGCACCACCATCCCCGCAGCTCTCACGCAACATCGGCGCCCAAAACGGATGTTGCATGAAGGAGGAGCCACTGTCCCCACTGCGCAGCTGCCTCCATCCCGTCGGCAATCCGAGAGCCAGTGGCGCCCAATTGCTGTTAAGTATGAGGGGCCAATGGTGCCCGATCGCCATGGAGGAGCCGCCTAGCCTACTACCTCCGTGACGGAGGCGGAGGCGGCAACTTGTCCTCCACAGTGTCAGCTCCCAGGCGGCGCGTCGGGAGCAGCGCAATGTGCAACATTCGGCATCGTTCACGCGGTCGAACTGCCCTAGGTCCCAGCGAACCCTGCGCTCACGGAGGCATGGGCCATTGATCGATACAGGACCCGTCATCGCCAGATCAGCAGCAGCTCCTCAAACTGGGGTTGGCCAGTCCGAGCATTTGACCTATCTCAAAGGCAACGGCGGGCGACTCCAAGCGCTCCACGTCCAACCGTCGCTGTCCGGCGAAGGCGGCCAAGCGTCTGCAAGCGACGACGACAGATCAGGGTTGTCGTGACGCCTAGCGGGCCTTCCGCCACTAGAAGGATGACAACGACGGTGGTGGCGGCTATGATGACAATGACGATGGAGGTGTTGGCGCCCTTGGAGGCCATGCCTATGAGGTCACCGCCCGGTACCTCGCTTAGTTTAGTTTTGGTTTAGTTAAATTGTCATTCGATTTAGTTGAAACTTTGTTAAATTTTGTCCAACTTTGTTGTAATATAACAAAATTTAACAAAAATCATCCAATTTAGCATGAGTCGTCTGTTTCTTAAAGATCCATTTGGAATGGGGCGAACATTTGGTACCTACGGTTGGATGGCACCCGCCCTATACCTGTCGGCAGACAAGTCCGCAGACATTTGGTGAGGTCTGTTTTTGTAATCCACGTTGGAGTTGCCCCTATTGGTCCTGTTAACTTGTACAAAACTAGGTCTAACAAGATCTTTGGCGCAGAAAGGAAGCTCCATCACATGTGGTTATGCGCACACATATTAGCAATATTGAACGTTCCGTTCATTTAGTAAGTTTTAAACAATCGCAGTTGCAAGCTTGAGAATGACCACTATTAAAGCTCGGGCAATATGACTCAACACAACAGTACAACAACGCCTTTTGTCCCAAGCAAGTTGGGGTAGGCTAGAGATGAAACCCAACAGAAACCTACGAGAACCCAAAAAGAAGTGAACAAGTACAAGTAAGCAAAGTGAAGGAAAGTAAATTAAGGTTCGAGTACATTGATTGCTACGTTCCATGCAGTCCTATCAAGAGCCAAATATCTGGGTACATACCAATCCTTCAATTTCTTTTTACTGCCTCCTCCCAAGACAACTTTGGTCGTCCCCTACCCCTCCCAATTTTTCGCTATTCTTTAGAATACTGCTATTCACTGGTGCTTCTACAGGCCTCCGTTGGATATGTCCAAACCACCTTAGAGGGTGTTGGACAAGCTTCTCTTCAATCGGTGCCACCCCTAGCTTACCATGTATTGCCTAGTTCTAATTCGATGCTTTATTGTAATGCCACGCATCCACCTTAGCATGTGATCTCAGTGACACTCATTTGTTGGATGTGTTCTCTCTTTTTAGGCCAACACTTCACTCCATATAGCATCACAGGTCTGATCCCCGTCCTATAGAACTTACCTTTGAGCTTCTGCTGGACCTGATCACCGTCCTATAGAACTTGCCTTTGAGCTTCTGGTGGACCTTCTAGTCATAGAGGATGGTAGATGCCTGCCGCTACTTCATCTACCCTGCTTTGATTCTATGGCTAACATCATCATCAATATCACTGTTCCTTTGTGGCATTTATCCCAAATATCGGAAGGTGTCCCTCTTAGACACTATATGTCCCAAACTAACCTCTCCATGCTCGCACCTAGCACCACAAAAGTCACACCTCATATACTTGGTCTTGGTCCTAGTAAGCTTAGACCCCTTGGACTCTAAAGTCCGTCTCCACAACTCTATTTTCCTATTGACACTCAATCTAGTGGCGTCAACTAGGACTACAACACATCATCAACAAAGAACATGCACCAAGGATATCTCCTTGTATATCATGGGTGACCTTGTCCATCACTAAGGCAAAATGATATGGACTCAAGGACGATCCTTGATGCAGTCCTATCGTAATTGGGAAGGTATCGGTCTCACTATCACCTGCCCAAACGCTTGATGAGGTGATGTACTTTCTTGGTACTTTATGTTTCTCTATCGCCCACCAAATAACTGTCCTTGGTATCTTTTCATATGCCCTCTTCAAATCGATGAAACCACAAAGATTCTTCTTTCGCTCCCTACAACTTTCCATAAGCTGGCGTAGTAGGAGGAAAATGGCATCTATAATCGGTCTCCCTAGCATAAAACCAAATTGGTTTTTTCTGATGTTCGTTTTTCTTCTCAAATGATGCTCAATCACTCTCTCCCAAAGCCTCAAGTATGATGACACATAAGCTTAATTCATCGGTGACAACTTTGAATTCAAGACCTCCATGTCTTAGGACTTCGGGGAAGAACCCTAGCTTGTTCCATCTCTCTCTTGTGGATGATTTGGATCAACTATTTATCCATGTGTATCTTGTGTTGCAACATGTGTGTTGATTTGTGCTAGCTTATCTTGTGTTCCTTGTGATTTCCCTCGTGTTCTTCCGTCCACCTCTAATTGTTGAAGATCGGGCACTCCTAGGCTTGGGCCTATATCACATTTCTAATGAAAAACAATAATATTAAATGGACTTTAGGGGCACACTCTGCTGAGGGAACGACCACCTTCAATAAAATACATGATATACCAAGGATAAGAAGCATCAACCATCCAATCAAAATTGAAGTTTGTCACCCACTTTGTAGATCATATTATGGCAAATCTGCTAATGGTCATCCACAATCCATATCTCACATGTGTATACAAATGAAGTCAATAAAGTAGTAATCACTAATAATAAGTAAAGTGGCAAACTTTGCATACAGTCCTACCAATTGAGTCTTAAATGTTTGTGCTTTCTAGACTATAGCCCAGCCAACATTTGACAAAAGATGCATTCACAACAAATAAGAAATGAAACATTCAGGTGCAACAACACGACTTCAGTAAGACATCAAATCAACTTGGAGGATCAACTTGGACGATATGTTGGCGATACTAGGTCATTATTTCCAAACACACAAGGGTCTGAGACAGGGCGATCCTATGTCTCCAATTTTGTTCAATATTGTGGTTGATATGTTGGCGATACTGATTGGGAGGGCAAAGGAGGCCGGTCAGGTGGGTGGCTTGGTGCCTCATCTGGTAGATGGTGGTTTGTCCATTCTGCAATACGCTGATGATACAATCATTTTTATGGAACACGATTTGGCAAAAGCGAGAAACATGAAGTTAGTGTTATGCTTATTTGAACAATTGTCGGGGCTGAAGATTAATTTCCATAAAAGCGAGCTGTTCTGCTTTGGTAGAGCCAAAGACGAACAAGAGGCTTATAGACAATTGTTTGGTTGTGAAGTGGGGGCTTTACCTTTCACGTATCTCGGTATTCCCATTCACCATCGTAAGCTAACAAACAGCGAGTGGAAGTGTATCGAGGATCGGTTTGAGAAGAAACTGAGTTGCTGGAAAGGAAAACTCATGTCTTATGGAGGCCGGTTGATTCTTATTAACTCGGTGCTCACGAGTTTATCTATGTTCCTCTTATCCTTCTTTGAGGTCCCAGTTGGAGTTAGGAAAAGGCTGGACTTCTATCGATCCCGATTCTTTTGGCAGCGTGATGAGCTTAAGAGAAAATACAGATTGGCCAAATGGGATATTATCTGTCGACCAAAGGACCAGGGGGGCCTTGGTATTGAAAATCTTGAAGTTAAGAACAGATGCCTGCTTAGTAAGTGGTTGTTTAAGTTATCCTCTGAGACAGAGGCAACGTGGGAGCAGATTTTACGTAGTAAATATCTGCAGTCCAAGACCCTATCCTAGGTCACTCTGCGGCCAACCGATTCGCCGTTCTGGAAGGGGCTCATGAGAATCAAAGCTACCTTCTTTAATAGAACGAGGTGTATTGTCGGTAATGGCAGCAACACTCGATTCTGGGAGGATACGTGGCTTGGTGACACGCCTTTGGCGACCCAGTATCCGTCCCTATATCGTATTGTTCAGCGTCGTGAGGCTCTTGTTGCCACGGTTATGCAGTCCATTCCACTCAACATTCAGTTTAGGAGGGTGCTCGTGGGTGATCGATGGGAAGCATGGCTTCACCTAGTCCGTAGACTGATGGAGGTTCAGTTAACTCCTCAGCCCGATAAGTTGTGTTGGAAGCTTACTAGATCTGGGGAGTTCACGGTTAAATCGATGTATATCGATATCATTAACACTAGTGTGATTCCTAGTTCCAAAGATGTTTGGAAAGTTAAGGTCCCTTTGAAGATTAAAGTGTTTATGTGGTTTGTGCATAAACAAGTAATCTTAACAAAGGACAATTTAGTTAAGCGCAACTGGACAGGTTCTACTAGGTGTAGTTTCTGTGATCGGGACGAGACTATCAAGCATCTCTTTTTTGACTGTCCGTTGGCACAAGGGTTGTGGCGCTCTGTGCAAATTGCCTTTAACATTACTCCTCCGACTTCGGTCAACACGTTATTCGGGGCGTGGCTTGCTGGGATAGAGTCCGAAACAGCTAGACACATTCGTGTAGGAGTATGTGCGTTGTTATGGGCAATTTGGAATTGCAGAAATGATTTGGCTTTTAACAGAAAAACAACTATTCATTTTTTGCAGGTTGTATTCCGGGCTACTGCACTGATCCGTATGTGGTCCTTACTCACTCCGACGGAGGCCAGGGAGCGTTTGGTTACTGGATCTGTCCGGTGGGAGATGGTAGCGCGGGATATCTTCAACCGGTTTGGATGGCGGTCATGTAATAGGATAGGCAATTAGTTTACCTATCTTTTATTTTGCCTGCCGGTTGTGGCTTTTTGGGCTTTTTTGTTTTGGCTTTGAGGCTCTGTGTGAGCTAGCCTTTGCTTTTGTTTGCAGACTTTGAGACCTTCTTGAACCTTATTTACTCTCTAATATATGTGGCCGTATGCATCGTTCTGATGCAGAGGCCGGGAAGTCCCCCCTTTTTGAAAAAAGAAAAAAAAATCAAATCAACTTGGAACTTTCCACGGAGGATTAATGATGTCACTTTCAGTGGAGCTAATGCCCTTTAAATATAAACTTCAAGTTTGTCACAAGAAACAAAAACAGATGTATTTGTTATGTACTCCCTCCGTTCCTAAATATTTGTCTTTTTAGAGTTTCAAATGGACTACCACGTACGGATGTATATAGACATGTTTTAGAGTGTACATTCACTCATTTTGCTTCGTATGTAGTCACTTATTGAAATTTCTAGAAAGACAAATATTTAGGAACGGAGGAAGTATATGAATAATTCTATAACAGTTGTATTAATTTCGCTTGTGTATCGAGATCGTGATATAAATCAAATCCAAAGTAGGCACCTATCAAGCCCCCAAGCAATAAAATCTGCGAAAGATTATCAAGAACAAAGAAATCACAAGGTCCATTCGTGCTGACCTGCCTCTTCTCGAGAAACATGCCGGAGCTGGTCCGCACTTCGCTCTGGACGCTCTTTCCCGACTCATTGTCCGCCACCATCGACTTCTCAAGCTTGTCCTTCGCCTACAGACCACGCAAGAGTCGAATCAATCAACCATTATCGAGCCAAAAAGGAAAAATCTCCCTCGAGACAACGAGATCGAGGGGCGGCCATACTCACCAGCTCGATCATGTGGTCGCACTCCGCGTCCGAGAGGAACCCCTTGTGCAGGAACGCTCTAGCGGCCACGCGCACAAAAGAGGCAGCCATCAGAGTTGTACGTTGCGTAGGCTCAGAGGGAGGTGAAGCAAGGAAGATCAGATCCTCACCTGGGGTGCCACGAGAGCTGGACGACGCGGGAGGGGTCGAAGTCTCCGTTACGGCCGCCGACGCTTGACGCGGCGAAGGCTCTGGCAGCGGTGAGGTGAAGCGCTAGGACGACGAGGAGGAGACGAGCCATGGCCCGGCGAGATGGAGGGGAGGACGGGAGGAGTCAGAGATGAGTGCTAGGGCAGCTCGTGGATGAGTGAAGTCTATTCCAAACCTCCAGCAGCATCTCCAACAGAAATGTAGATGCTTATTTTTGCATTTTCGACGCAAAAACCCTTGTCTGATAGATGATGTAGATAAAAAAATTATATCTTCGTCTTTCGAAGATATAAAATATAACACTTGGTGATGCAAATATATATCTTCATCCATTGAAGATGTAAAAGACGGCGCAAATATATATCTTCATCCATTGAAGATGTAAAAAACGGCAGTTTCGTGCCAACCGCCCAACTGCCTTCAGTTGGCTTCCGCGTGATCGCCCGCCACCTGTCTAACTTCGCCGTCGTCCGATTTCACCCAAAACTGAGGCCGCCGCTGCAAGCTCGCCCACATCCGACTCCACCCGCCTGTCCCATGCCGCCTGGCTCGCCGAAGTAGCATCGACTGCCCCCCGCAGCCACCGATTCGATTTCGGCTGCCGCTTCGAATCGAAGCTTCACCGGAGGTCCGGCTGCCGTAATGGCTTCCACGGCGCGGCCGTGGATGGGCTGGGCTTGTTCCTAACCTCGACCCACCACCAGAGGTAGGGGAGGCGCGCCACGCCGCCTGCCCGATGTCCACCCACCTCCGTCGTTCTTTCCACTGCGCGAAGCCGGTCGCCCGCAGCGCCAAGCTCCCGCCGCCACTCTGACGCTCCTCGGATGCTCCTACGCCGCTCCTCCGCCTCGAATCGTCGCTCCTCCACCGCTGCACTGCCGCTACTCTGGCGGCTTCATTCGCGTCGTCGTCGTCCCGATTCACCCCCGTCGCCCCTCCGACACTCCTCCACCGCCCCCACGCACAGCCATCGCCGCCCCGATGCTGGCCCGATGCGGTTGTCCCAAATCACGTCGCGCTGCCGTCGTCCCCACAACCACCGCCCTGATTCGGCCGCCGCACATTTTTACATCTCCATTTTGCATCATCTATTGGAGTGCATGTTTACATCTTCAATATACATCATATATTAGAGTTGCCTCTTTTCTGAAGACATAAAAAGCACCTTTTGGTGATGTAAATTTTTACATCTCCTGTTTTACATCTTCAAATTTGCATCTTCTGATGGAGATGCTCTAATTAGGTTCTTTAAATTAATTAGTCTCTTTGATTGATTCAAACAAACTATATCAACGTGTTTGGCAATATTTGGGAAGGGAAGTGTGAGTTTAAAATAGGAAGTTGTATTGAGATTAGACATGGGGTGAGTCATTTTATTTTCAATCTCTGTTTGACACATGATAGGAATTATATGGGAGAATTTGAAGAGAAATCGTATTCCCTTGTTTGGTTCAAGGGAATTGATCAGGGCTAGACAAGGGAAACTAACGAAAAATTATGATAAAGAGTTAAGATTCCTGTCAATAAAACGGTGGGAGTTGAAGTCTCAAGTCCTATAACTATTCCCTTATGAATTCCCATTTCCACTAACCAAACAATAGATTTGAAGTCTCGTATCCTTTAATTTTCGTTCCCTAAGTTCTAATTACCCCCAACCAAACACACCTTATAGGATTTTTGGAGAATTGAAATCCTTATAATTTTTTCCCTATGTTGGTCCTTTAATTCTTAGGATTGGATTTCATTAAAAAATCCTATTCTTTTGTATTATATTTCATAGGAAATTTAACATCCGCTACAATATTTCTTACAATTTTTTTTTGCGTGGCATCAAACACTCCTTGCTAATTCTATTGAATTTAAGTGATATGACACTCCAATCCTATATGTTCCTATTTTTGTATTTTTAGAATCTTGCGAAGCAAAGAGGCCCTAGACTTAGTCAGAATTGAACCCTCGACTCTTAATCTATGTCTACTAGTACTAGTAAAATGTCTTTGGGTTCGAACTTAGAGTAGCTCGGATGGTTAGGTTTCTTGTGGTAGAACAAATCTATCAAAGTTCAAGTCCTAGGCTTGCATTGGTGGTCGCATTTTCTTGAATTTATTTCGAACCTTCCGGCAATATACATTCAGTGAGAGGAGACGTTTCCGTCGACTAGGAAAACATCTATGGCGACTTCGTTGGCTCAATGCTTGAGCGCCAATATCCGAACAAAAATTTGTTAATATCCGAACAAAAATTTGTTCTCCACACGTTCACTACAGCCAGATTTTGACGCGACCCGGTTAGCTGATTTCCTTGAAAACATATCATAAAAAGGTAATTGACGAAATAGGGTTTTCCCCCTCTTCACATATAAAGCAACCATCACTACAATATTCGAGCAAGAAGATACAAACGCACTCCACAACGGCACTCAACGCACACGCCCAAAGCGAGGTACAAAGGTGCCGAGCACCTAAACACCACCCCAACGACGACCAAGCACCATAATGATAAGCCGAAGACCACCATGAAGATGAGCAATCTGTTCGGAAACATTGCATGGAAAAAAATTCTACGCACACACAATGATCTATCCATGGAGATGCATAGCAACGAAGGGGAGAGTGTGTCTACTGTTGGGGAACGTTGCATGGGAAACAAAAAAAATCCCTACGCTCATCGAGATCCCGTAACATCCCAAATTTTCAATTTGGAATGTTATACATTAGGTCATCATTGCATATCATATTTTAATGCATCTTGGTTGATCCTAGAAATTCTAAGAAACTCAAGGACCCACGGAGAGAGTTGGGGATTTCGTTATTTTCATTTTTGAGTTTCCTAAAATTTTGAAAAGAGGATCATTTGGTTTTAATCATTTTTCTCTTCAAATATTTCTAATATGAAAATAAAAGAGAGGAGATGAAATGAATTCTCCAAATAAAAGAAATATTCGAGGAAAAATATTAAAATCAAATAAGAATTTTATTTGGAGTTTTATTGCTATTTTATTTGAATTAGGAAAAAAATATGTTTTTCAAAATTGCATTAGAGGCCCAAATAAATGTTCACTTTGTCCGCAATATTATTAGAGGACCGTGAAAATTTATTTCAGGATTTTTGGACTCCATTTAGTATTTTTTTTATTAGTTTTTCCGCGTCAGGATTTATTTAAAAAAAAGTTGAACGGACTTACCTGGCCGTGTACGACCTGGACACTACACCCAGCCGGTCCTTTAAAAGCCGCGGCCCGACCCCCGCCGCCAGCCCACCCCACCGCCCGAGCCCTAGCCCCGCCGCCGCCGTGCCGCCGCCGCCCGTCGCCACCGCCGCGC